ACAATGAAAAAACCCTTACAGTACTATAGAAAGCATAAACAAGGAATATACATACACATGCAAGAACTTACTTGACAGTATCGTCTATCATTGCTGTGACAGTCAGGTCAAGAACATCTTCTGGTTCAATGATACCTTGCAAGGGATGAACAGAGAACAGAGACCTTGGTCGAACCTAAAGACAAACAAGGACAAGAACAATATGAGGGAAATGGCTATATCAAGGCAAATAGAGGTTTCATTTGGAAAACAAAATACATTTAATATTAACAGATGAAACACTTGAGCAGGTGAGTCCATGGAGGAAAGATGAACATCTGAACAACTGACAAGAGGAGCCAACGTTTTCTATTGTGTAAAAACTTGATATCGAAACAAATCATTGATACAACTTCCTAAAATGTTATGTCTGTTAACAAAAAGCAATACAAAAAACACTTACCATCTCACAAGAGAATTGTGCAGGTATGAGCGATTCATTGGAAAGTCTGACTGTCTCTTTTATTTCACTCAGGACAGGTATGGTTCCATAGTCAATGCGAGTTGGAGTGACATGGACAACAGGRCCTTCTCCCACACAGTTAATTTGAACAGGCTGATATAGAGTAAATGTGATAACATTCGCGCTTATTAAATCTAGTTTAAATTCAATATTTAATAAAAGACGATTTCATACACACCAATGGTTGATCACCACTGCCAAATATCATGATATATGCAACAGTTTGAACTTCCTCAAGAAATTCAGCAGTGATTTGTAGAGGGACTTGTTTCACTGACTTTGCCTGGATTATGCCCTGGAGATTGTTTAAAAAAGTCTAATGAAAACGCATACATTTTATAATGTTTATTTATGAATGCAATCCTATGTACCATGTAAGAAAAAATTAAATGTAAATCATTCCTTGATCCATGACTAACCACAATTATTATTAAATCAATTTCATGCTAAAGTTATGACCCCCTTATTATTGATGCCATGGAATTCAGAATTGGAAGATACATTGTCCCTGAAACATGGGGAATTGGTGGGGAAGAGAAAGTCCTTAAATTTTCATGAAATAGTTATGAAATTGTTGAATCCTAAAGTACCCATAAGAAATATAATGATTGACAATCAAGTCGCTCTGTTGTAAATGATTATCCCACCTTTGGTTCAGTGCTGGAGTACAGAATTGGTGTCTGGTCATCCACAATCTGGAAAAGCATGCCGATAGAATTAAAATGAAAGCAATTTTTATAATTATCAATTAATATCATCATTTCTTTCTAGTACATGTACATCACATTATTTAAAAGTACTCTTTATTCTTTATTGTCAGAGCATAGTTACATTTATTTATTATTTCATCATTATAAATGGAAATTTATGAAATACTACTAACTGGTGTCTAACCTGAGCTAGCAGTTCATATTTTGCAGGTAAGTCCGAGTCATTGACAAGCTGAATGGGCAGTTCATATGGATGATGCAAAAAACAGCGACCATAGTTTAGAATTGGACTGTGAAGAGTGATAGCTGGGACAACACATCTGAAATGATATCAAAACAAAGTAAGTATTATAAGGTTAGTGAAGGCTTTGCAATATTGCTCTTGAGAAAAAAAGACATACTTAGCATGGATGGGCAGTGAAAGGACTTCTTCTCCAACTCCTYCAATGTCTGCTACTAACGACATCTCATATTTTTTGACAGTTGTTGACACAAAGTCGATCTATAAATGAAACAAAAATTGAATGAATATAATGGATGATTGGGTAATTGGATGGATGGATGAATGGCTGTAAATGATGACAGAATAACAAACATTCTTGAATAACTGAAAGGATTGAAAATGAATGAGAGAATGAAAAAAATCTTGAATAGGTACATGAGGACATTAAACCAATGAGAATGAATGTATGAGAATTAAAGTAATAAAGAGATAAGTAATTAATAAACTAATGAGAATGAATGTATGAGAAAGTAATAAAAAGGGAATGTCATGTTTTATTCAAAAAGTAAATAAAAACACTGCAGGTCAAATCACAAAATGTATGACTTGTTCTTACTTTGATTGGCATTTCATCCTGTGSTTGAATTGTCCCTGTGCAAGGAGAAATGACAAATTCTTTTGGTTGCGTCTTTACAGTGCTGGATAATGAATCTGTGATGTTGCTATCAAGAAGGTTGTCAGAGACTCCATTGCCATCTTCTCTTGTCCCACCATCAGCAGGAACTCGCAGGTTAAATGTCATAGGAATCAGAGAAGTGTTTTTGATCTTGAAATTACGAGTGTTAACAAAACCTGAATAACATACAGAATGAAATATAAATCAATATATTAATTTAAGGCAACACTTTTCCAATGTTTTTAGTTCTTACCATATGAGACAGTACCAAACTTGAGYTTTGGGACTTCAAAGTGAAATGTTGGTCCAATTACTGAACCACTGTAAAATTAAAACAACACACAAGATTAACAAATACTCTGGTCATTAATGGTGGACATGTAGAATTGTCATGATTGATATTTTATTATCAGACTAAATTAATTGGGTACACCATCCTGGGACCTTCCAAAATGCCTGTTTCACCGAGGTTAGCCTTTGTTTAGAGGCTGAATAAAGGGTGAATTATAGAGATTTTGGGCATTTTTATATTGCAACTGCCTAATAGAGGRCAATTGCTTAACAGAGGTACCACACTGCAAACTTTTTTTTGGAATCAATGGACAAGGCAAGAAAATCCTGCACACGACAAAATGTTGGAGACACTGGAGGGAAACCTTGTACACCATAAGGTTTAAGTGAGAAGGTGACGATAATTACATAGTGACCATTATTTAGTTAATATATAGTAATATCTGAGAGAGCAATTACCTTATGCAGAGTTTAATTTTAACAGGAGAACCTTCAATTGCAAACAAGAATTCYTCTTCAAAATTTCCCAGCACAGGAGAGCAAAAAGAAATCTAGAATAGGTGGACAATAAGACTATAAGTATTAATTCAGGTGCTACTGAAAGAATTTCATATTCATTGATAATSATGGCAAGATGATGAAGAKGATGGTGATGATGATGATAATGATGATGGTGARGATGATAATGCATGATRATGATGATGACAAATAAATACACAATGATGGGGATAATGGCGACACTAATGATGACACACACTGATGATCATTGATGGTGATAAATAATGATTATCCCATAAAATGAACAACCTTTATAGCTTGGTAACTGCCTGGTAGTACAATCCCTTGTGATGGAAGAAAYGTAAACTGTGGTCCAAACAGTGTATCTGAAGGTAACAGACTGTAAATGGCATCTATGTCTCCTTTATTGGCTAAAACCACCTAAAAATGATATCATCATAAAGTACATTTAGTTAACATTTGGAATGTAATAATTGGATTATATTTTCATGATCTGACAGATTTGATATAGCTGTCACATACATGTACCTGCAGTTGTCTAAAATATAAACAATTTCTATTCAGAAATAGAGAGAATTTTGTATGACTGTGCAAATCAAATCATGGATCACAAGRTCTCAACACTTGCCAGGTTGACACCAAATATAAGACAGTACTGATTCAAGAATATCACCATCTTTCATAGCAAGRTACTGTCACATCAGAAAAGCTATGTGTTTTTTGCACAGTCTTACAAAATCAACTCTAGCATCAATTTAAGAAATAAATGATAGCTTGAAGTGGTTTACTGGCAAAATGAACCACGCGGGATGGTTGTGAGAACACAAGAAAAGATTTGTTGTAAATCATGAGCCATCAGGCAAGTGATTTTGTTGTAAACTGCCCAGAAGCACTCGCTTTCAGCTCATGTTTCTTGGCATTTTCTCGTGTGTTTCAAATGCCAAGCGTGCGGTTATCAGAGTATAAACCATGGCTGAGCCTTATTTATTTGTTAAATAATATATAAATAATTATGTGCTTACTTCATAGGAGTGTTCTGAATTTACAAACACACTTCCAATATCCAGTTTGTCAAAGGAGAACTGYACAAGAGGACCTATACCCTCTCCTCTGATCCTTAAAGGCAGTCTTGACTCACGGCCTGACACATCGCAATACAGGGTTCTTGCATAACTGCATGACATAAGCAAAAACATGCATTTTGAAGCAGTCATTATTTTTACATCATATAAAATATGTTTAATGTTCATAATATAGTTAATGTTTTTTGTTTTGTGGCTTAAAAGTTTGGAAATTTCTGTTGGCTAAAATGCTTAATTATAATTTAATTATTGCTTTTCACATCGTTGAAAGAAGTGCAATTTGCTTTTTTTGTTCATTTATTCCTTTCTCGATTGCTTCATTCATTATTAAATGAGAAGAAAACAATCGCGGAAACAATAAAAGAAAAAGTTTGCTTATAGTCCTTCATTTATACACCTCTCTATCCATTGTTGCATTAATTCCTCCTTTTTTTGAAAGAAGTGCAATTTGCTTTTTTCTTCATCTATTCCTTTCTCAATTGCTTCATTCATTATTAAATGAAGAAAACAATTGAGGAAAAAATAAAAGAAATTTTTTTTTTCTTAGTCCTTCATCTATTATGCATTTCTCTATTCATTGTTGCATTTCTCGATTGCTTCATTCATTTATTATTAAATGATGGAAAGCAATCGTGGAAAAAATACAATAAAAAGTTTTGCTTTGTCATTCATTTATCCATTTCTCTCCATTGTTTCATTCATTTGTTTATTCAACCTTCCTTCCATTCATGCATTCAATCTACATGACGCCATCTCTGTTGAAGGAATATTGTTATACRTACATGCAGTTGCAATAAACGAAGCAATAACCTTCATCAAATAATAATATGATGATGATCAAACAATGTGCATGCGGCATAATAACTCTGAAAATAATATATTATTGCATGCCTACAAAAGCCGCAAGTTGTGCAACTGTATTCAGCTAAGCTGAGTATACAGTACCTTTGGGTCTCTTGAGGTTTGAAAATTATTGATATTTCAGCTTGTGAGTTTGGCCAGATCTCACCCTCCTGGAATAGAAAACATACAAAATGGTCAAATGTGACAATTTAATCTTCAATTCAGAACATAAAATATATACTCTTTGCTGAATGCTTTAATTTATATGTCTGAATAGATCAAATAACTAGAAATTTGTACTAACTGCCCTGGATGATGCAAATCCTTGTCAGGATCCTACTATCAAATAGGATCCTGTAAGATCCTGTAGGATCTATAAGATACTATTCAAGATCCTACAGGATCTTGCAAGGATCCTACACACTCAGAATCCTACATTACAGAATCCTATCAAGGTCCTACAGGATCTTACAGGATCCTGTCTAGGATTTGCACCATATGGTAAGTGTGAAGCCACAATTAATATTCATTTCAATCTATATGAAATAATTAAGTGACATGTTTAAATAATTAAAATAGAATTTTAATATATACATGTACCTCCAGTAACCATTATGACTGTAACAATATTTTCTCCAATAATATAAGCTACATATTAATCAATAACATACCACTGGCTCAACTGATACAATGTCATCTTCAAAGAGTAGGTTATCTTCATTTACAACCTTCAATTAATAAAAGAAGAAATGTCTCAGCAAAATAATAGGCAAAGCACACGCAAAGTGTGGAAAATCTCACCGTCATTTTGTTCTTGTACTTTCTWGTGACAATAGACATCTGATCTCTGATAGAAACATCACTAAGACACTCATCAATAAACGCATCCCTCTCTGTTTCTTCCTGTCTCCTCAGGTCCATGTAAAACCTTTTGATAAATGAGAAATGTATGATAAAATAAATAGAAGATATATCTAGCATAAAAGAGAATTCATTATTAAATAGATTGGATCCAAGAGAGAAAGTGCAGCTTCTCATTCATTCTCATGGAGGTATAGAACAAAGTACTTAAAGTCAGAGAAGAAAAAGGTTTCAACGCCTTCTGTTGCATCTTCTTAGCTTAATTACTTTAGTTGCAGTCTTTTGGATATTGATGTTAAATACCTTTCTTTTTGTTGCAATTCTTCACGAAGGGTTGCAAACTTTGTCCATTTGAAATGAACCAAGATGTCACTTCTGTTGGTAATGGTCACAGTTCTACAGTAATGAAATGCATTTAATCTAATGAGTTCAAAGACTTCTAGCATTTAGTACTAATAGACCAAGCATTCTTTATTATAATGATGAAATAAAATATACCTTTGTGATGCACTTGTAATGAAAGTGTTTTCCATCTTCAAAGTGTTCTTATCAAGTCTTATATTGTAATCTACTGCAGCTCCATGCAAGGCGATGTATATGTCTTCTCCTATAAAGGACAGGATAATAACACCAAAAATAATGATATATTATATATTATTATTAGATAATAGAACTGTCTGCAAATCCTTTTTCCCTCCTACTATCTATAAACCTACAAGTACTACACTCTAAATGCTTGTGCAATTCATTAATATAATAAAGCCATATTCGGTAACATGACCTCAAGCCAAATATTTTACTATCCAGCTTTCACACTGACAGTATGTAACATATTTTTCAACAAAAATGAACACACTCAAGGACATTAAATTGAAACTGTTTTACCTGTATCATAGTGTAAAACCATATTGCTACAGTGGTCGCCAGTTTGAAGTGCATTAAACTCAACATGGATTTGACAGCTCTCTCCAATATCCAGCCGTCCACTCTCAGGAGTGACTGAGAACGGCTTCTCCAAAGAAAGCTGAAACCTGGCCTCTCTGTTACCAATGTTTCTGATAAGCAATGTTTTGGTGGTTGTATTCTTGAAAATAAAAAAATGAACTCATGATATTTCTTATTTTTAATATGGGCACTCAATGTTGTATATTTAAGTCATGTGGATTCAAGATTTCCCTTAGGGAGGGGAGGGTCAGAAGGTCCGGGAAGGAGGGTACACAGCACAAAAAATGTCACAGCTGGTATCTAAAAGATATATGAGAGTACGTAATGTGGGATGTGTGCACTTCCCATTCATCCTTTTGATCCCACCCCTCCTTTGACAATGGAGTAATATTCTTCACAATTTGTTTTTACAGCACAGTCTCACCATTGATCATTCTTAAACCCAAACAAGATAACACAATCCTATACAACATTGTTTGCATAATAAGAAAGACAAAAGTATGCATTCCAAATACATTAACAGTGATCACACTTTTAAGTGTTTCACTGTTAGTAGTAGGTGGAATATTTTCGATCTACCTTTACTGGTGCAGTGCCAAAGTTGATTTCATCAGGGAAATCCAAGATGGCTCTTGCTCCAACAGCTCTTACTGGTACTAGAAACTTTTCCCTTTCAGTGATACAGATAAGCTCATGGTAGTAGTCCTAATAAAGATACATTGAATGGTAAATTAAAACTTTTGTCTGGCATTCAATCGTTTACTTGAGATTCAGAAGACAAAAACAGACTAGCGACCATGATCATACTGCATTACAGTGAAATCTCGACTTATCACACAGCAGTATTTGGCTGCATTTGCTACAATATTGCTAGTGGTCATGTTGAAGGCACAGTATGAACAATAAATCATATCATGACAAATATAACCAAACAAGTTTGCTGTAATGTTAGCTGAAAACTAGTCTCCTTGCAGCTGTCTTTAGTCCCACTCACGTATAATGTGTGACGAAACTAAAAACAACTGGGAGGAAAATTACTAGCTGAAAACTGGAAAATACACGGGGGATCACTGCCTTGGCTGTATGTGTAAAATGTAATAAACTGCATCAAAACTTATCATCCATCCTGTTCACTTGRATGATAAACATAGTATGATAAAACTGGCATATACACATTGGAATATAAATTTGTATCAAAACTTATCATCACTCCTGTTCTTCTTGTTCGTTCAGTACATGTAACTCACCTTTTTCTCATCAGGAGTAAAATGAATAATAAAAGTAGTATCCATACCAGGGGCAACCTTATGACCAACATCAAGAGGGCTGATGATTTTAAAGTATGGCGAATCTGTCTGGGTTACCTTCACAAGGCGTGCAATCTGAAAAAAAACAACAACAAATGATTTATTGATTTAAATGTTTGTATCATATTTGAAAGTCGTCTTTAAATATCCAAAAATCTTATTAAATGGATATACTTTTATTTACTCCCGTTCACATGCAAACAGAAATAAACACATAAAATGAATGAATGGTTTTAGAAAATGCTTTGCCTTGTAGATAGCAATGCAAAGATATTATATTCAATTCTCAAGTCATTTATCAATAAAACAACAAGCCAAACCAATAGAAACCTTCTGGAGTTCAATTACCTTGTCGTTGTTTCTCAACTGRAGAGGAACTTCATATTTTTGAAAAGGCTCAAAGTTCTGGAAGACAATGTCTGATGGGAATGGTTGGAAGATTGGCTCCTCAATGTCCATGGATGTAAACTACAACATGATGTAAAAAAGATTATATAACCATAACAAATGAAAGAATGTATTTATTTTACGAGCTCTACCCATCACATGAGCATTGATGGCTG